AAATAAGCTAATATTTCTAACTATATCAGATCCAACATTACACTTGTATGAAAACCAAAAATTGAAAACACTATGTTCGCATTTTAGTCTGTTTATAAGAAATATCACACAGTGAAACACTGTCATTTAGTGGATAACGTTTCGAACATAATCTAATGTCCATCTTAATATGGTGTCGTTCATGACTGTGTGACATTTCTAACAGACAGACTAAAATGGAATTACAATCTATCACAGTGCGCAAGTTTTCCTCTTATACGTCGTTCATATCTCGCACAAACCGGAGATGTTTAGAAAAATACAGAGCTTTCAAAGGATTCTTTTTCAAGGCTTGACTGTTCACAAGGACTAAGTATGCGCTTGGAAACAATAAACTTATGCTCCTGATAGAAAAAAAAGAGGAAATTTGTCTCTGAGATTGCAGTTGGGTCCAAGGCGAATGCTAAAAAGTTTGCGATTCCATAGAAACTTCTGTAGTGAGTAACACTCACATGACTTACTGCGGAAGCCGTCAGTTCATACTGTTTGTGAATCCACACTTAAAAGAAACGTATTTCTGGGAATTTTTAATCACGAACTGATGTCATCCACAGAACCATAGAAAACACGGGAGTGCCAGAGTGCTACTGCACCTTAGTTTGTGAATCTTCTTCAGCGCTAGCTTATGATCTTGTGAAGAAACAAGCCTACTGGTCTTCAACTAGTATATTATTATAGTCACTTGAATGAATTATTCGTTTCTCATTTCCATCACCTCACGAAATGACAAAACTCTAAAGCAGCATTATCAGCAAGCAAGTGACTTCAGTCCTAAATCCGTTGAAAGCATGTGCCTCAGCTTGTTATTGGTACATAAGCTTTTCGCAAACCCCAACACTCAAGGCAAGTTTCTGTTTCATGCAAAGGTTAATCGTTTGTGTTCGGTCTTATTGCAAGTGCGTTGGAATAAGCGAATATAATGTATGCTTGACTGAAAGTGAAATGAGGAGGCACTACGTTGTCCTTATTGTTCTAGCTATCTCTGTCTAAACACTTTGACTATGCATTTCACAAATCAGTTGGCTAGTGTATGCAAAATAAGTCAGTTTTGTATCATTCATCGAACTAAATGCAGCGAGTACGCCTAACAAAATTTCGAATAAAGAAAGAAGTTTAGTGTAGGCATCTTACTAGCGATTTGATTGTCACTGTTGTGTAGCTTTCGATTTACGTAATTCTATCAATTTCATCACTTTTGTACGGAAAAGCAGTTGTGAAGTATAATGAAAATTTCTGAAGGTTTCCAGGGAACGAAAGCCTTCATTCAACGTAACTTTGTATTTAAGTGCTTGTAAAAGCATGTCTTACTATTCGACTAGCGAAATAACGAATGAACAAACTCACAAATAATGAAGAATCTTTCTAGCTCAAGTGCATAGTTTCGGTGTTGTTGTGTTCTCTAGCATGAATGTTTTATTTGAAAATCTTTCGTTGACATTTTAGACAATATAATCATTCATACCTTCAAAAATAATTACTTTAAAGTAGTTGTAGTACCTGCTTCGGTGGCTTTCTCTGTGGCTAGTTATCCTCATAAAATGTAACAACAATGAGTAAACTAATAGCGTTAGTGATTCTTTTGGTCACTTGATGTGCCATACAACGTGTGCTGTAGTTCTAAACGTTCAATTTAATAGCAATAATAACAACGCACTATGAGTGCTGACAAGTATTGAAAATCCCAGAGAGGGAATTACTACTTAGTTGGTGAGTTGTAAGAGTTAACTTTTGTAGATAGTGCTTATTTCTATAAACCGCAAAATTGAACTTCTCAATCTAACTGCCTGTTTGGTGCTGATTCGGAAGTTTTTGTGAAAAACCTTTTCCACAATCTAGGCAAGTCAGAATCCTTAAGATCACTGCTGTAAGAAACCTACCGCTTGTAGTAGTTAAAATCTAGCTGACGAAATGGCTTTTGAGTTACTTTATAAAGCCTCTTCAGTCTAGTGAAAACATCACTTATTCAAGGAATAAAAGTGATACAGGGATAAACGCTCTGTGACTGCTTTTATGGAAAATATAGACACTATCAGAGGAAAAGTGTACTGAAGTTTGAGAAAAATTGTTATTTCCTGAAAATGAGGTCTAGAAATTCTAGAATCTACATTAATTTTATTGTTATTTTGAAATGCACACTCAATTTAATTTCACTAAATTGTATTCTTAACAGTCGACTTGCAAATACATCTATACTTTGCTTTGAGTAATCGTAACCACCATCTTTGAGGTAAAAACTTCATGTGGAGTAATTAACATTAGTTTCTTGAGGTTCTTGCAATATTGTTTAGTTTTAAAAGCAAGATCACCCTGTTTTTGTTGACTTTTGTATTGTTGAAAGGATCTGTTACATTCATTAGAAGGCGTGCGCAAAATGGTTGGACAGGAATAATGATACTGTTTCGTTTTCTCATATGTTAGCTGGTAATGCGCTGGAGTGGTGGGCCTAAGACCACTACTTATTTCCTGCAGTGGCATAGGTTTTTATCAATCCATATTAATAATACTGGTTTACCAGACTACAGATAATCACAACAGCGAGAAACGTATTTGGAAAAACGACTATTCCTGGAATCGAATGCCCTCCATATTAACGAAAATCTTGTTTTATTTAACCTGAACAGATATATTTATTTCCACTGTACCTTACAAGTGATATCTAAGGTGTCAGCTTATTGTGCTAGAGGGAAATTGGCTAAATGTCGCCATGATTCATTAGTATGTTGCATACAACTGCTTCTGTTCGCAAATTCCGGTAAATCATGAACAGTAGCGTTTACAGAATAGTATGAATTCATGGTACACCGTTGCTTCCATTTCAACTGCATATATACTATAAAAATGATAAGATGTGTGCAGAAGAACGCAGTATGTATACCATAATGATTGAGAGGAAGATAGCACGTTTATGAAAGATAAGTAAAGTTCAGATGAAGTAAATTTTTGAGACCAAAACCAAAGTTATCCAATGTTCGTCTAGTCAGATAATCGTCCAGAAAATAGAATGGGAGAAATTACCTAAATATACGCTATAAGTTAGCAATGTACTCACGAAGTTAAAATTTGCTGATGAGTTTACGTCAAATCGATTCAGGTGAGAAAGTGAAATTGTGAAGATAAAATAAGAATTGATTTTGAACTCGGCTGCAGAAGATGAAATTGCAAAACGACATAAATACTTTGAAAGGTTTTGTATTGGATAGCAAACCAGATTAATAGCTAGTTCGGAAAAAAGAAACTGACAGGTACCTCTTTTTTGGGAAGCAAGTCCTGTTTAATTCTTCTGATAAGAGCTGTTGCTATCAATCTGAGTAAATTCATTTCTTTATTATTTTAAATACTTTCGAGTTCTCGATGTTGTGTCCTGTTTCTATCATATGTTTACTATTTGAACCTTTATGAAACTTTGGCTCCTTTAAACTTAACTTACTTGAAATATGTTTAAAAAGTTCTGTCAGCCCTCCTTTCTGCACTTCCGATGTACATCCTCTTGCGTGCACATATATGTATATACAAGAAACCTATCGACATTCCACTGTTGTAGTGAACATCCTTTTGCATATGGAGACTAATTTAGCTGCTAGAGAATGAAGTTTTTCTAAAGTTCTCATTTTCTAATTAACTCTGTTCATGGTATGTTTGGTTTATAAGGCTTTGGTTTTCAGATGACAACAGCTGACGTAATCCTCGACGTTTCGGTTCTTTATTTAAAACAAGCAACAAGTGTGAAAAAAGCAGGATTTAGTGAATTCATAAATTTAAGTAGTACTCGTCAGCTGGATACTCTAAATACTTGATTATATATATCGTTAAGCAGTGGAAAAGAGCATACATACATACATATACAACGTAAAATGAAACAAATTTAGGTGTAACAACATAGAAGTGAATAGTTTTTACAGGTCAAATAGATATTCAAGATTGTTGACATACAGGTGAGAACTGAATCAATTGAGCGTCGATCACGTCATTGAAAACAAGATAGTTAATAGTACTTATGCAGACAATAAGAAAACAAGGTGTATATTGAGATGAATAATAATGATAACATTGGTAATAGGAATAGGGTTAATTAGATGGAGTAAATCAGGGAAGGAAAACAAATATGAGATGAGTGATAATTAGTAGTGAAGAGTAAAATAAGAAAGATTAAGTATGATTAGACAATGATGTAATTATTACCATGGCAGATTCAGGCTGACTACCATTTCCTTCTGAATGCAAAGGTTTGGTTTGACAACTCGAATCGTGCAGGCTTCTACATATCCGAGCAACTTCTTATTTTGCTGTCTACTGATAACTTTAAAGGACTTATAGGTATCAATATCATGTCCACAGCCCATTAGTTGCTTCGTTATCGAGCTCCTCGGGGTCTTCTTTTCGGCATGCCTCAACCATTTAGGTATGTGCTCAACCATTCGGGTGGACAGACGCCTCTCCGTAAGACCAGTATATTTGCTTCCGCAGGTACATTCGAATTGATATATGTATTTAGATGTGTCGAGGATCGGAGTACTGTCTTTCCCTGGTTGCTGCAATACCCTTTTGGTGGTGCTAAGAAGAACCAGTTTAGCTGCGTAGTAAGTCCTTCTGATAGACTTCTCCAGTCTTCGTCTAACTACCTCCAGCACGTCGTCACCTTTGAATAGCAAGGTGACAGGCTGGTTTCTTCTGCACTGTTGGGGCCGTTGTTCTGCTCCCTACCCACTTCGCGTGCTTGTTGAAAGAGCTTTCTAAGTACCCATTCTTCACCAGCACGCTTTTCAAAGTCCCTATTTCGTAGTCTAGTGTGCTGTCGGAACAAATTTTCCTGGCTCTGTTACACAGCGTTCTAACTACATTCACTTTGTATTGGATAGGAAAAAAGCTCCTAAAATGAAGGTATTGTCCTGTCCATGAAGGTTTCCTATAAATGGACCTTTCTATAGATCAATCGATTCTTTTCACTAGTAAGACATCTAAGAAACTAATCATATTATTTTCCTCGTGCTCAATCGAAAAAGTCAGGTTTGGGTGACATGAATTGAAGCTCTTCAGTAGTGCTTCTGCCTCCGCTTTACTATTGCATACACTGAATATGTTGTCCATATAGCGCTGATACAGTTCCGTCTGACCAATGAGGCGCCTCAAGCTACTACTTTCCAGACTGGATATAAATAAATCAGCGAAAAGAGGACCCAGAGGGCTTCCCATTGCGACTCCATCGGTTTGGCGGAATAACTGTCCGTTGAACTGGAACTGGATGTTCTTGGTGCGTAGATTTAGAAGCTTTCTCAACTCACTTGTTGGGATAGGGATATTACCAGCTTCTCGACAGATAAACTCAATGATTTCATCAACTGGTACATTTGTGAAGAGAGATACAACATCAAATGAAACAAGATGCTTACCAGTGCTATTGAAATCTGTGAGGCTTATTTGTTCAACTATCGATACATTTGTTCCTTAGTAGTTCTTTATGTTGCTCGGTTTATTTACTCTCCATTAGATAGGATTTGTCTTTCCTTGAATTTTCAAACAAAAATGTAGATTTGTCTTCCAGGATAAATTACATCTTTGGAATGTGATCAGATTTGTTCATCAATACTTAACTGATGCTTTTATCTGAGGAACTGGTTGACGATTTAAATGTTGTACGTCAGGAGAAATTCTTAAGCTTTACATGAAATTTACAGGTTCAAACGTCTCGATTGATGCTTAAACTTCTAGCCATCTAAGTGATGGAACAGAAAATTTACGAAGAGTTGTCAGAAGATCCCGGAAATTGTACACATAACTTGTTCAGCGTCAAACTTAATAAAATAATATAAACCAGGCAGAAACACTGGTTAGTGTCTGTGTCAACAGCTGATATAAAAAAAATACCGAATGAAATGGTGACAGAAGCACTTAATACAGGCGTAAATAATGATACTGACTGAAACGAGTGAACACAGAGAGCGGTTAAGGTAGATCTCTATATAACAGTAACAATATTGCCATCCAAAAGAGTTACACATGAGCAAACTGAAGGACTGGCTATCGGACCATGAATCTCATCTACAATAAGGCATATCATGTGTAAACATGCATTTCATACTTATTTACAATAAACTAATCCATTCCCCAATACACAGACTTCATAGACTTAAGTGATACTGGTATGTAAGATCGGTTAGATATAAAAGTCCATCCTTAAGGTTGCTGGAATGCGGTGAAGGGCTGGAGAACATGGTGAAAAAGACTGATATTAAGTCAGTTTTACTGAAGATTCCTTAATTCGTCTTTTTATTTTATCAACAGGAGTATTACTTTGAGAACTCAGATTTATTTGAGGTTGGTTAATTGTCATTTTTTCATTCTACGGTGACGTTCTTTTCGTTTATACAAACCGTGCTGCTTAGCCATTTTCAGCCAGGGTTGTACCTCAAAGCACAAGGCCTTTTCTGTGCATATCAGAGAATGAATTTCTCAAATAGATCCGGGAATTAAAATGATTGCAAAATAAGCCCAGGATGCACATTCCAGTTTGTTCGCCACTCCTCAACTAAAAGTGTTTACATCCCAGTGCTCACTTAGCTGCTGAGATCCGAATAGAGTAGTCGTCATTTAAAACTGTACAGGTTAACGTACTTGATAAGTGAGTTAAAATACCAACTCATTTCCCATCGCTGTCTTTATACAGTACACTTTTCTATATCTCTCTGATGATTAATGGAATTGAAACGAGCGGATGCTGTTGGTATTCAGAACTTGAGAGTTAGCTGCAAACTTGTATTATCCAAATTAGAATTTTAGAGACAATGCTGTAGTTTTTACATGAAAAAACCTTTATCCCTAAACAGTATTTAACACGGCTTATAAATTTATGCTAAACTATTCAGGTTTACAGACTATAGTTCATAAATACAAGTGATTATGGCAGTAATTGAAAATTTTAAGATGCCTAATCTTACGAAAAATTTAGTTTGTATCGTTATCAGTTAGCCCAGAATACTACCATTTTCAAAACTCTAAGTCACTTGTACTGACCTTCACTGTAAAGTGAGAACGTCAAAGTAGTCAAACTTACTCTGTATGTGTTCTAGATTTACTGATTTATGAATGTCCAATACTGTAAAAATTGGCATCACCCACTTCTTTTTGTTCAAATGAGTACTCAACTTCAAGTTACTCGTAAAAGACAACCACACAAAAATATTATACTGAAAAAGACCAAGGGAACTGCATTGCTTCATTCTATCCACCTATAAATATTAATTTGGTAATACGTTGAGTGTGTACAATTTACAAATTTACGAAAATGAGCTTCTATACGACAATTAGACAGAGCACGAAACCACTAGAGTAAATTTGAAGATAAAAGCAATATGATGTTCAGATGACAAGTAACATGTACAGTGTAAAATAATGAAAATATATAAACGGTAAGTTTGAATAAAAGGCATATAAATGATACAGTTGTTAAAAATGTGAAGTTATGAGCAACAATGGCAATTATCATTTTAGAATACTTACTGTGATTTTAATCACATGATTGCTATTAATATGATTATTGTCATCATCAATAGTTAGACAAGAAAGTAAGATGAATTAGAATGCTGTATTCTTTTCAGTAACAACTGATCTATTAGTTAATATTCCACGAAGTGGTGGCATTTTTGGCGGAGGTTGCTCTAAGTCATCCTCATGATAGTTGACACTTTTTAAAATAACATCTGGTGGTTTATTCGTTTGAGTTGATGACAGTTTGCTTGGAGTGGACTCGTCATCAGTTGACTGAAATTTATTCGTTGGTGTACGAAAACTTTGAGGTGGGTCAATAAGGGGAACGCTGAGACTTTCAACTGATTCTTTACAAGCTGATTCACAACGTTGAATAGTTGAATTATTTTCATTTACTGAAAAGTGTGTATACTGAGGATGGACTTCATCTACATGTGACTCTTGTTGTTTGTGACTGGTCTTTCGTACTAAACACGGATGATATGCACTTTCTTCTTTGTAAGGGTTGTGTAGTCACCATCAAGATGAACTTGATAAGCGATTTCATAGATTGTTCCACGGTGGGTCTAAGCTGTGTATTGATTCAAACAGTGATCTGCTTTCGATATAATGGTTGTGATTTCCTAGTGGTTTGTTAGTAGCGTTATTATTGCTGTAGTTTTTTTGGCAGTCATCTCGATTGGTAAAATTATTTGACGGTGATCTTAAAAGGCCTCCATCGTATTCGCTTTGTGTTATTAACTTCGAGGGATGAATTTCATATTGGCAATTAACATTACTGTTAAGATTATTACTATACATTCGACGGTCATTCACGTTGTCATAATCATTTTTTCTTTCTATTTTTGCAAATCCCGTATATGGATTTAATTTTGGAGCTATTTCCTCACTACGATCACTCATTCCACTGCCTCCATCACACCCACGCCCTGTTGAACTACTGTTTACTGATGGTGGGGCGTTGACAGAGTTCAGATTACATTCACTATTATTGGCAAAAATATTTGGCACAATGCTGTGAGTCAACTCGGATCGAAATTTTGGATCTATTGGGGGCGATGTATGATAATCGTAATGAATACTATTAATGGATGAAGTTACTGTTGGCATATAGTCATTGACTGTATTTCTGGAGTTGGTGCTGTTGACTGTATGCGTACTTAATGGCATGTAGGCTTTATTCAACTCATTTTGGATTTCCATCGGACAGACACCAAATACACACTGGAGAGACAAAATAAACCATAAGAGATTTCAGGGTAGAAGTTGTATTAAAAGTAATTTTAAAACATCGGAAACAGAATGAGATACATTCTGATTTCATTATGATGTGTGAAACGTTTGAAACTGTGTCACGGTTTAGTTCTAACTCAAATTTTTAGACTTCAGGATGTGAAGCTGGGTCTTGTTGGTTTGGAGAGCTGACTTTTACCAGAGGGTCACTAGTTCGAGCACCACCCCACCTACTGAGCTCTGGGAAACCAGATAGTAGTATCATTCGCCCTCAAACAGTAGATGTAACTCACTGCCTACTGCATGAATGTGTACAAGATTGCCAAGTGGATTTTGATTTTTTTACCTGAATGTTCAGGATCAAACTTTTCACTATTAGGAGAAATAAGGTAATCATTGAGTAAATGGTTCATAAGAAAAACAATGAATTCCTGGTGTTTTGTAACCTCATGGAAGTGACTTATTTAAAGGGTGAGACCTTTTGAAGTTGTCGAGCTGTTTACTACTTAAATATGCGATGTCTTCTGCAGGTTGCTTCTCCAGAGTCGTGATATGCGATGAATTCAGTTTCGACTTCATTGGAATTTCACCCGAGTATACATATGTATTTTCTGATTCGACACAACACACAGTAAGGTGGTTAAAAAACAGAGAAAGGAAAATCACTTGTAAATGAAATGACCTAAATAAGAAATGAATTGTCTACAGAAAGCCCTGCTGACTAACGATTATCTTCCAAATTTTATTAAGAAGTTTGTCATAAAACACAAGAAATAAGTAGTATTGTAATATGAATGGCAACTGTAACAAACAGGAAGGCTTTCAAAGATTGAGTTTGTTTCACCATAAAAGCAAGCAATATCAGAAACTTAACATAGAATTCTCAGTTAAAATACAATTAGATTAGCCTTAAAAATTAGGTCACTACGAGATCAACTTTGTCGGTTCAAAGATTCTACTAACACAGTCAGATAAAATAATTTAAAACCTATCAAATGGTATACAATGACTAAAGGGTCAAATGCATAGGTGAAACTAACGTATCAGTGGCAGTTAGATTATTGCAGTATAGGAATTTGAGAAAATTTAGAGTGATAGACCGTATGAAGATTATTATTAAACAGGTTAATAAGTCATTGAAGTGTATGCATTGATATTCAACTGTTAAACGTTGATATGGTGAGGTAGAGAGATCAGTTGATTGCCGAATCTTTATTCTTTGAATCAATAACCTAGAAAAATAGTTAGTTTCATGTGTGTATTCATCACAGAATGACACCATTTGCACAACCACCAAAAACAAGTGAGCACTGGATAGATGTTTCGTCCTAGTATGGGACTACTTAGCAGCTTGTGCCCATTACCTCACCGAGGATCAAACTAAGAACCTTAAAATTCCATCGCGAAAGTGTCGCCATCAAGCCACTGAGCAGGAATTCAATGTTCCTTGTTTTCCTTCTTATACGTGGTTTGATACAACACGTTTTCCAAAAGCAGAAGAATTGACTAGCCTTGATAGAACAATAAAAAACCAGATTTCAGAGCTTGTGTGATCACTTTTACGTGATTCAAAAGACTAGAATATAGTCGAAATGTCATATGACGGTAAATAATACTGTTTCACCGTGTGTTATATCAAATAAACAAATCTTATATGAAACGTTTTCGGTGGGTTTTATTAATTTGAGAGAATGTTTATTTTTTTATTCTTGAGTAAACTGCTAACGAAATGTACTAAAAGTTGGATCTGGAACAGAGATTGCATGCTGTGAATGATAGTCTGGAAGACTGAAGTAAACAAATTTTAGGGTTCAATGGTGATAGATAATGCGACAACCCACTTATCAATGTCAATAGGACGTACATATTCAATGTCTCAAGGTCCCAAAGAAGGAGTGTGCTGACTGTGTTAATATCTGATTGAAAGAGGAATTGTAGTGTTGTTTTTTATCCTCTAATTATTCAAAATAATAGTGGGGTTTCATTTTTGATTCAAAGAACTGTTAAAAGCTATGAAAGTTAAGAAAACAAAAGTAAAGTGAAATTTTTTTATGCGTTTTTTTGCACAACCGTCACTCAGATTGGTAAGGTGTAAATTCTGAAAATATTCCGTTTATGTACTATGGAAACCGATCACTATTTAAGTGTTAATGAGATTAATAGGCCTCCTAAAACCGAAGCCATTCACCAAAGAGGTAAATCAAATTGGCTCATTAGTCTGAGGAAGGGTTTATAAAAAAATTTATGATAACATATTGCATTCGTTGTTCATAAAACGGATCAACTAGCGTAGTAACCGAGTTAGAAATGTTCAAGTGCTTGAGGTCATTAGTAATGTGTTGGATTTTTTAAGTGAATTGCTATTGTTCGCTTTAATGCACATGTGTACAATTAATACAACTATGGCTACCATCAGATAAATGGCATGGATACTTTGTACTTGGCCTTTTCATTGACATTATCGTTCCTCTTGAATAACCTGTCTATTTCTTTTTAATATATTTGTTTCCTGTCAGATACTGTAGAAATTTATGTTTGCATTGGCTTGTTAGTCATGGCTTGGATACTGATATAAGTTTTAGTTGTTTGCTTTATACGTTTTCAAAAATTGGAAAGAAGAAGCATTCTAAGCAGCCAGGGTCTGAGAGTCATTTTATGACACACAAGCTTGTGGCTGGAAGCCGTGATTTGCTGCGTCATGACAGCTGGCGCAGGAAACAGTAAGTAGTGTCACTATTGTTAGAAAGGTCTGTCACTCTGTACACGCTAAACGTAAGTAATATATTACCATACACTACTGGAATTACTTATTCTCGTAGATGAACCAAACCAACTGATATTTAAAAGTCTACACGTAACGAAACAGTCTGTTTGGACAGTTATTCAGTCTGATCTGAGTTGTCAGTAGTGCAGCTTGTAGTGAGAAATCAATAATCATCTAAAAGAAAGCTGCACTGTAACCATTACAGGGCAAAATTCAATTTAACTATCTGCTTCCTGGAACATGTACGCATAGAACTATTTTTGTATCATATTATCAATTGGTCTACACATCATGCGCCGATCAAACTCTATGAAAGGTGATATATGCCGAAATAACACTAGACTACGTTTTCCTTACGGTGGGTGAACATTAACAACTAATCACACTTACTAAATACAGCAGGATTACCAGACTGTCATATGTTACATAATATAACCAAATGTAAACTGCGAAATATATCTTGTTACTGTATTGGTTTTGTGATTTACAATAAGTAAAGTCTTAGTCAGCTATGCGTTTAAAGAGTAAGATACCAGATTATTGTTAACTTACTGAGGAATGATTCGGTGTTGATGGCGTCATTTTCACAGCATACAAATCTAGTGAAGTTTGACGGTGTCCTATAACATTAGATTGGGTTATATAACATTGTTCTCTATCCAAATGACTGTCATGATGCATATTGCACATACTTATATTGCCTTGCATATTTGGATTCACCCGACACTGACAATCTTCATTACGATATTTATGCATATCAGCCATGATGGAACATGGATTTGTTGGCAACTTACACCCAGGACATATAAACTTAATCTCATTTGATAAGGATGTATCCGACATTGCAACAGGGTGTAATGTTGTTGACTTCATTGTTGACCAATCACTGTTTGAATGACCCAAACATATAGATGTACACTCGTTTGGCTTATGACTTTGTCTTGACTTCATCTCGTCATTTCGTGTACTATTTCTACGACATATAAATAGCACCACGAAGAGAACACAAAGAAGAATTAATAAACCACCGCCAAAACCAATCAGAGATGATTGTAGAATAGACGGATTGACTGACTGCACATATGTTTCTTGATTTTTATACAATTGTCACTTGTTCTTGGGTTCATTTGCAAATCCAATGGTTTTCTTGATTCTGTTAATGGCTTCTTGATACCTAAAATGTAAAATAAAAGTTCATTCATTTCATCAACACAAATGAGCAGCTGAGGAAATTTATGATGAATTTATTTTCAAGCTATACAATATATATATATATATATATATATATATATATATATGATATTTGAAAAATTATATCCCGTGAGGAAAACTAAACACTATATGATGATGATGACAATAATAATAGAGCGGATGATGACATAGGCATTTGTGACTATGATAACAATAGAAGTGTGAATGATAACAAAGTAGATTACGTAATATATGGAATGGATCATAGAAAGTATATAATTCAGAAGAGGGTGAAAAAATTGATGAAAGCGATAAATCGATCAAGCACTATGTAATAGGATTAGACAAGTTGGCCAAGATAAAATCAATGTTTTCTAAAAAGATTAAGATAAGTGAAATAACACCGGAAACTAATCAAAGTGAAGGCAGTTACAATAACAATAGAAGTGATGAAGGAAGGTTAAATTAACAAAGAGGGGGGAGGCTATAGGGTGGGAAAATATTATGGTCTGATAAAGACAGTGACTGCTCATACTTCTTTTGTACACGCAGATCAGGTTTAAGTTCATGAATAGCTAAAGCTTCCGCTGTTTTAAGAAGTTGAAAACGAAGAAAACGTTAGAGGTTTGGGCGAGTTAGATAAATAATTTTAAAGTCATTGTCTGGGTTTGTTGAGTGATGGTAATTAATCAAATGTTCTGGAGTCGAACTTCTAACAGACTTTCTTTCACCTTTGTAAAACCAAGCAGAAACATGTTCTCGTTTACGTGTAGAAAGCACTCTGTGGCTACGGTTGATGTGGCTTACTCCACAAGAGCAGGTGAACTGGTAGATGCACCTAGAGGCAGTCAAACAAGGAAGCTTATCATCAGCACAAACGGAGAAAAGGTTACGGCCGGTAGAAGTCAACTGAAGTCTTTCTGCAAAGAAAGTTCTATTGATTGATCTGGTAAGACGATTGATTCTTCAGTACATCCGATACTAGGTCACCTTCAAACTCTAGGCTCACGAACAGTCTTTTCTTTGAGACCGAGTGAATGACCGGTTTAGTATTTCTTTCCAGCATATTTTTATAAATAAAACGGCTAGGGTAACCATTTTTGACAAGTGTGCTTCTTAAAAAAGATAGCTCTTCATCAATACAATCGTCACTACAGACATTTCTTATTTGATAGCAGAGAGAGTGAATAAGATTTCTTTTTCTGTTGATAGGTACCCAACTATAAGAATTAGTTAGTTGTCCGTTCCATGTTGCTTTTCTGTAGATGGATCTTTTGATGTATCCATTCTGACGTCGGGTGAGAAGCACATCAAGAAAAGGAATAGCATTAATGCTCATTCTGGAGTATCTGGTTACTCAATGGTAATGCATTTGTCTCAGGGTGCATGTGTCTACGTCCAGACGCACAACTTAGAAACCTTTCCGAGCACGACGTGATGATGATTATGCTAAGTTTACTTTCAAAGATAGATTTGCTAGATAGCTGATGGGAGCCTTAGGACAGTAAACCCAGGAAATGAAGGAAATTTTCAGCTAAGAATATGAACGTATCAACAAGATCTTCTCCCTTCAACAAGTCTCATAACAAAGGAATACTCACAGGCGTAAGATAATATCTCTATTTTCTGACCTTAAGGTGGCATTCAGCCTCGTCGACCGATGGGTCTTATACTGGTGTCTATTACTGAAGGAAATGCCGAGTATGTACATTGTTCTAACAGAGACTCAGCATTAGAAAAACCGGCTGCGTCAGAGGATATTTTGAAGTGTTAGGTGAATTTTATGCATCAAATAGTATCCTTCAATCATATAAACTATCTCTATTTTCATTCAGTTTAGTAAAGGAGGTGCTTGCAATAGTCTCTGTTTCTGTGTTTAAACTCATGGAGGAATTTCTTAACGTACATATCCAACATATTTCTGTTCAGCAAAGATACTAACAAAATGAGAAGTCTTTTAGACATCAGGTGACATTTAACATTCCATTGGATGAGTTTGTCACTGCTTGAATCTAAGTTAATGCTGCACGACTGGTCTGAAATGATACATCCTCTGACAACAAAGGGCGCAGTAATTATATACACCAACCACCTGAGATACTATATTGGCTCCAACTGGTCAGTGACAGGTGAAATCACAGTACGAATAAAATAGGGTGGATTGACCTCGTCAAACTTACACCATTACTGGTGCAGTGAGATATCTCCATAGAATCCAAAACAGTCAACTCTCCTGTCACTTTTCGTTTTTCGAGTTAAGTTTCATTCGTATGACTTTCAACTATTCTTGAGTACATTTTTTCTCAGTTTTTCTGCATTTCGTCGCGCTGCATTGTACCTTAATTTGATGTGAGATGTGGTAACTTAGACCGTAAGCATAATTATTAGGCGTCATTTTAATAATGGTTGCCTTAAAACTCTTAAGCTCATTAATTTTGCTATTGTTGATAGAATCTGTTCACAGTGAATTATTTCCAAAAGTGAAATTAAAGCATTTACATCTTAACCCCTGACCTCAATAAAGAATTCTCACAAGCCGGATCTAGAAGGGTAGCATGTCGCTTGCGCATCAAGGTAGAACTATGCCAATCAGTGCTCTGCAGTTATGTGAGGTGAATAAATTCGCACGTTTCAACAATGTACTGGATTCTGAAGGCTCAAGGCAGCTTTTTTGTGTTTACATCACCTCTATCTGACTGCAGAGAGCTGTCAATAATCTTGAATGGTTTGCAACTATTGGTGTTCATTACTGGTGATGGCTGTACGATTTCCAATTTAACCTAGTTTGTACATCCATTTGTATCTACGTATATTGTGATTTCTTCTTCCTGATGTTTGTTTTTTTACAGTCAAACTGATCACGATAATAAAATAATAATAATTGTAGCCAAAATATAGAATGTGTTTTTGTTCTAGTCACATCATAATCGTTGTTTATCATAATATCATATGAATATTTCACTATACCAATAGTCAGCTGTTGCTGTGACTCACGAGATTCAATATCTGCCCTGATATATGGTAACTGTTCGTTGCTAAAAATCGGTACATCAGATGGATTCAACGAAGAAATTTTGTTTCCCGGTCGGGGTGATTGAATTTCTTCTCGGTATGAAAAAAAAGGTTAAAAAAAATCAAATTGACAACCGAATAATTAGCCATATATGGTTTCATTTAAGTAAATAAATGTCCCAGTTATACATAAATATGAGGCTGTATAAGGAAATTTAAATTACTGCCCCAAATGAAATAGTATTTTCAGCTTAGGTCAACTACAATCAGACAACCTATGTGACAAAATGAAAAGCAAAGTTGAGAAGTATTCAGGAATGTTGTGTGAACTGCTTTACTCATCACCCAAAATTGTAATATGTGGTAATTGGGCAGGAAGCGAAATTTGATGACTCATTTTTCCTGTCATAGTCTAAATTAACAAAGAATAAGTGCATTTTATTCTAATCAAAGCATGGCTAGTCACTCTGTTACTCAGCTTGATTTCCACAGCTGATACAGAAGAAAATAATAGATAATTTTAACAAATAAACAAATGCTAACTTCTCAGCAGTTTGAGAATTCCGTCACAGATTAGCAATTTGTCACCACAATCTATGCTAGAAGTCTCTTAGTTAACCAATAAAGTGCCGGAGTATAAATCAAAAGAACTAACAATAAGACATTGTTATAACGCCATTAGTAACAGTGCATTCATCCTTTATGAATACATATATTTACAGAAGCTAAAATGCAGGAGTGCTTCATATTCTTATGATGTGTTTTCGATATGCTGATTTATAACTAGTAGATGTGATAGTAAGAATTCAATTTAAATGACCCAACTAAACAAGTGTGCATCCAACGACATTTTCTCTCCATTAGAACTGGTTTTTAGGTGTAACAGTATGACAACTAAGACAACATCTAAGCAAATTAATATGCACCAGCATTCAAGTATTTCACAGTTGGCTAGACAAAAAATTAAACAAGGGAATAAATAAGTGAAATCTGTTTTAAGTGTTCAGTTCATTTGTGAATTATGTTTCAACCAATATGATCAAAAAGGTACTCGTCATCCACCATTATGAGAACCTTCACTTTGGAAAAATGGGCCGAAATTGGAAGGAAGATAGAATGATTAAATCATAGTTCAAACTATATGTAGGATCATATTTACATAACAAAGAGTTTCAAAGCTTGGTTTCTGTAATAGAGTCAGCTAGAAAGTTGTTACTTTCTAAAAGGAACAAAAAGTGTTTAAAAATTTGCAGAGGCTGTAATCTGAACATATGTGATTGCATGCATCCAACAAGTTTTATCGTGTGGTTTTGAAAGTTGTGACCATTTAGCCTTGTTTTCTGTCTCAGAAAAGTTTCAATAGTGATGAATTAGGACATTTGTTACCAGGCCTTTGAGGTAGTTTAACTTAACTAACTAATGAAATCTCTTTATTATGTGCTTGTGTACTTGTGTGACCTCACCTACACACAGATTCATATCTCACTCTGATGCAGTCCCAAAGTTCTACCGTAACTGCATTTAGAGGGAGGATATCTCACCACTGAAGTGTCTTCCCGATAGTCAGACCGTTCAAGTTACTGGGCACCAAAAGGATATTCATATAGGAATACGTGGTGTATTCATGCTTATTCAAGGTTTATTAGACAGTAGGCCTGTTAGTTGGGAAGTTTGCAACACAATATAGAAGTTTTACCCTTGGTTCTAATCCAATAGTATTTCAATGAGGTTTGACGTCTTTTTTCGAAGCACATTCTAGATTGATTTTTAAAATTTAGTTAGATAGGAACCTTTCTAGTCCTGTTTTGTATTGAATTGAACTAAACTGTGTCAACTTTTGTTGATCCTGTGTCATGAAGATTCAAGTTTTGAAAATCAGTATTTTCCCAGTCCTACCAAAGAGTTATGCGTTTGTCTGCTATAGTAATGGATGGTGACTGATTTTTTTGTCAGGGAAATTGCTAGAGGTTGTAATTAGATCACAAACAGTAACTAGACCTTCTAGAAACACTTCTGCCCATTTCAAGAATATTCATAAGGAAATACTGATCCAAAAATTACTAGAACATAAGACTGTGACGAATGTCGCTATGCAATTCATTTTTTATGGTGCATTGTAGGTCCATTAATTCCTCGCTATACTCAGCAAACTAAGACGATTATACTTGAAAATTGTGTAAATTTCTATCTTTCACCACTCTAATACTGAAGTAAGGGACACACATTCTGGTTGACGTAAGCCATATGGTTTCTTAATACGAAAGTCCCTTGAAGATTTTCCCACTAAAGTATACGAAAAAATACTGCCGTTCTTGATGTTTTTTTAGAAACTGATGCATTACGAAGCACTACGCAGCTCTAGCAATGGAACTGGCGATTCAACTCTGAATCACTAATATATTTGATGACATTATCTTTATCCTGTCTTTGCAGACAGGAAATACGAAAGAATTTGTTGATACTGCACTGAAATCTCGACCATCTTAAGCAGGTGATTGGTTTTCAAAGAAGTTCTCACCTTTTGGTTGTCTCTGATTTGTTTTCTGTTTTTCTGAGTGCCGTTCGTCAGCATTGTCTATGAAATGTTCCGTAATGATTAATTCGGGAGGTACTGTGAACAGAAAAAGCAAAAATAACATCATGAGGGATCACGTTTTTCAAATAGAACTTTAAAAAAATATTTTTCGATTACAAGTCAGTATTACTGGAACAGTCATTGTAAAAACGGAAACATCTAACTACGTTTAAGCCTAACTTCAGACTTGTGAGGTCGTTTATAAGGATGTCTGCCCAAGGTGCATCTCTCATGAAGCAGACAAACAGTCAAAGTAACTGGATCATGATTTTAAAACCTTAATATTGATGAAGAAATATATTTCAGATTCCAGAGTACCTCATAAAGTACCTATTTGGGTGTCGCTTTTTAAAATGTCTGTAAGGATGACTTCTGAAAACTCGACATCACAATCTGTAGCATGTCGGTTAGCTTCACATAACTTTGGGGTTTACGAGCTCTGCAGATCCAGTAGTGTCCTTATCATGTGTAGATTAAGCACAAAACACCAATGACATAAACGAAAATGACATTTGTTAACCAGTACATTTTTGAGTTCACAGAGAAGCTCAGGTTAGCTGTTCTGTTTCACGAAAGGCTAACTGATGATTTCTTCAAGTGTTTGTATTATCCTTTCTTATTTTCCATGCTTCAGAATAAGATGATAACACCAATTTAGAATACAATCAGTAAAACGAGAGGTATAAAAGCAGAAATCCTAACTTAATTTCCCAGAAGTTTAACACTAATTGAGTTGTAGCAAACCTAATTGCATACTTGTTTTTGCAGTCTTTCACTGAATATAACTCAAAGTTAATTTTATTTAGATTAATTTTAAATGATACTGAATGAATTGTCATGATTTCATTATTTCCTTAACACCCCATTTACACCGCTGTATTCATAAATATCCAGCGATGTTAGTTAAGAACAGCTTGGTGCTTTTACGTCATGGAGAATATTTGTACCTCAAGAGGGTGCGTTTGATGGTTTTGTGTTCTTGGAGCTGGATGGTTTATTTGTGAAGCTTTCATTGTCATTCTAGGCAACATTATCAGTATGAGCTTCACAATGAAGTCAGCTGTAAGGTCTTCACCATAAATGGCTTAGTAGCTAGTAGAGAAAACCTTACAGCTGACTTCATTCCGAAGTTTCTACTGATGATGTTGTTTTGAATGACGATGAATGCTTCACTATTAAACCATACAACTCCAAGAACACAACACCATCAAAATGACAGTGTTTATCTGCATAATTAAAGCAAAAAAATAAAATGCTTGAATGCACTGAATGACAAGAGAGCTGATAACTGCTGATGTAACAGTTCAGTGTAACTCTTCTATACATTGGCCAAACACCAGACTATTATTTGTGATACTTACTTAAAATGTCTCGAGATATAGCGCTCTACAAATTAGACTTCATAACCGTTAAGTGAATAAAGCCGTGACAACTATAATAAGAAGTGATTTGAATTAGAGGATGCGTCTCATGAACCATCAAATTTCTGATAGATCTTCAGCTTCTATGCACAAATTTTGAGTTTCATTATATAATCTTGATCTCTCTCAGTAGGAAATGTAATCAGCAAAACAGAATTACAGAAGAATATCAAGGTACTTTATTAATTTATATAGAACCTTCGCGGCCTAGTTTACACTAATTACATTCGTATGATCTATATAGCAGTATTTCTCAAAATTATGGAGATTCCATCAGATATATTATTACTTAGGCTCTGGTAAAGGTGTCGTAGTGGAGAGTTAATTTTAGGCGTGTGGTTAATTGGTTTAAGCACACTTGAGCAGATAGTGACCATTAAAAAAGACATTAAATTCCTTAACTAACTCCCTTATTGGTACACTTAGGAAGCGAAAAATAAGAGAAATGTTTTTAATCATTTCATTCAAATCATCGAACTAAATTGAATTATTTCACAGGCGTAACTCTCTACTTAAAAACAGTCATCTGTTCAGTAGTTGACTAGGTTGTTACTAGGATTAAATTCTTTGAAAGGACAAATTACTATGTAAGTATTTCATGGTTGCCGTTACTATCAGTCATATTTACGACTGTTTGAGTAAGCTCAATTAAATTATGATAGGTGAACGTTTTCTTAACAATCAAGAGTCCCATTATTGAGTTAAAAAAATAAATATACTGTTGAATCATTATGCTTAAACGTCTAAAATGGTTAACTTGCTATCTAGCGTAATGTTACTATTTGTTTTAGAAATCGAATCTTTTCAGTTATACCAGACTATCATATAATTAGAAAGTATTTGAAAGTAAATATTTTCTTTCATTCACCTTACTTAAAGTTAAGTGTATGTGGTTAGTTTAGGCATTCTGGCAAATCTGTCACTTTTATTGACAGATTTTTGACTTCAGAAAATTTTGCATTCTCTTGAGTTGATAAAAATGAAATTTGAAATTATCATGAGACATTTACTTATACAGTAGGTAAGTGAGAATACCTAAGCAGTAATTAAGAACATTCATCCTGTTTATTTGTTAGTTATGATGTTGTATTGTTTGTAGGACCAACGATGACGGTTAGTGATGAGTACTAGAGGAAAACCTCTGTAATCACCAGCTGGTGTTTTAGTTTCACTGTCACTACTGATGCAACCAAGTTTATTTCAAGAAGGATACCGCCTTTGACTAATCGAATTTACTCCTGCAAAATAAGTTTTATTAAATAAATAAAATTGACAGATCTTTGTGGTTTTCCCACTCTTCTAAAATTCTGGATACTAATACATTTAAGTGCATTCTAATGCGCATGTAAAGCTGCGCAGCATCCAATGAAATTTTAACCTTGTTTACAAATATTATTAAAAAACCACTTACCACATACATAACTAAACTGAGATGCATTTTACCACACTTATTCAATTGATTTATTGGTAATTCAACCGTGTTTGGATTTACTGAACATGAGGTACGTCCGTCACATGAACTGCTTATGTAATCTGTAATATCAACTCTTGATGAACAAATGGTGTTTGGCAATCCAACTGGTTTAAAAAATAAGAGAGTGAAGAAAAAGTGAATGAATGGTTGGTTAAAATATTCATTTTTATTTCTACTGTATGTCACTTAAGAAATTCTTACGAATGAATTTTTATCACCTAGCATCAGGTACCTGCTGCGAATTTCAAAAGGAGTGGAGTTTGTCTCCAACCATTTGCTTCTAAAAATGCCTCAAATCCATAGTTAAGAACTTGGGAGTTTTATATTTTCTATGTCAATAGTTAACTGTCTGTTACTTCAGCTGCTTGTTAGCCGACCAGCTTGGGCAGGTTGATTGGTTACTGGGGGTAAGGAACTTCACTTTATCTAGTCCTATGCACTGATCAAATTCTGTCGGTCATTTTCCAATATGTCCATTAGGCTAGGAGACTCCTTATCGTGATCCATCGAGAGATGTAAGTTGGGTGGTGGCAGTCAGCAGAAAGCGCCTGACCTTGGTTTCGTGCAAGTACACCTTGCTGACGAGTGCCAGAAAAAATGGAACCTAAGTCTAGAGCTTCCTACCAACTGCCACGATCCAGCAAACAATTTGAATTTTCGTGCGATATGCAACAGTGACTGCGGTTATTAGATAAGCCAGCCTAATTAATAGATTGCAAAAAGTGATGTGATTTCATGCATCATCGCTTTGCTTGGTAGACAGCTGAAGTCAGAAGGTTTTGAAAGAGTCCAGTTACTGCAGAGAATCGTTTTCAGTACACCTTTGAAGTGAGGAGCCCCAGTTAAGCTAAACAGTCTTCCCGTAGCTTACGATCATTTCGATTTACCTACATAGTATTGTTGATTAACGTGTGTTTCGCACTTTTTGAAGTCAGACAGTTTAAGACATTGCACAGTTTTTTATGCTGGTAATATTGAAACCTATATGATTGGTTATCAGGTTTTTGAAACCAAGTTGATCCGTAAAATAGATATTTCAGCGGTAAAAAAGTGGTTTTTCACTTTCACATCACCCACCGTGTTAGCAGATGAGGGTCTTAATTCATTTATGTAGCCATTTAAGATGCCTATATAAAACTTCACGCAATAAATGAATTATTCAGTCAGTTCGTAAGAGCAGCATCTCAAAAAATTATCGAAACAAGACACCCCAGACCACCAAAAGACTTCAGTTTATAAACCTTAATTTATACTTCAAAAGATACCTTTTTGGATGATAATAGCCACATGTCAATTTGTTTTCTCAAAAACAAGCGGCTGAGGAGATGGACAACAAAAGCATATCTTTGAAAATAAAATGCAGTACATCTTGTGGGCAGTGCGAAACTTTGCGCTTTAGAGATAACGTCAAGCGTACGTTAGCTGGTATAAACAAGTCATTTCTCATTCGATAGCTGACTTAAAAGGTTTTTTTCAGTCTTTTCAGTAGACAGAATTTTATGTATTGATCACCACTAACTTCTTCACAGTTATAAATTACTATTATGACCAAGTCGTTGATATGTTTTGAGTTTTATTTTCTCAATGAACGTTTTGTTCTTCATTGAAAACTCGTGTCAAGTGAATTCGCTAAACGTTTTTCACTTTGTCTACTATTATTCAGTCACTCCTCCAAGAGTTTCCAGTCCTATGCAAGTGAAAAACTCATAAGAAACAAGAATGTATTAGTTTTTAAACTCATCGGACTAGCATGTTTCATCTGCGAAGGAGTGATCATGACGCATCTGAATTGAATGAAATACTACGTTTTCTATTCCTCACTGATTTCTTAAACAAGATCTATTCCTTTGGTAGGGACAGAAATGATTCAAAAGGTAAAACACAGGACATACAAACGCTACCGATGTGCTGACTTCTTTGCACCTTTTTCTTTAGCATAGTAGCCAAGTCAAATGAAACCTCTTACCACGTCATTTCTAGCTATTCAAAGGTCGCCCTTACTGCTGAAAAACTTTTAGTTTCTAATGTAAGTGAATTCATGTTGATAATTGTTGGCTTTTTCGTGGACGTGAATATTTACATGTGGATTTTTCACCACTAAGCTGAGTTTCTTCAGCAGCATCCATCTCATAAATGAGTAATTTGTAAGTTGTAAGAAAAGGTAAATCAAATTTTAGTAAGAATTTAAAAAATAATCTATTTACCTCACTCCTCAGACATTTCACTTTGAGTCACTTTGCAGTATTGAATTCCAAACTAGATTAGAATTCTCTTCAGAGATGGGACCTGTTATTTTCGTTCCACAGCCTCATTAACGAAAACGTTCACTGCCCAGTTTTGTCAGGCAAAAGTATTCATCTTTCATTTGTTTATTTTATATAGCTCAAGTTACATTTTAACACTCAGAACTGGTTATCTCATAACTGAGGGGATTTTGAATGAGAGGCGTGGACATATGTACGCATAATAGAAGTCAATTTTTGAAGTTTTCTTTTCGCTGATTATCGGCTTAACTAAATACCCTTTAGCAATAGATTTTAGTCTCAACGTATCCACTATCACATTATGATAGTGTTACTTATCATCAGACACTGATTTAAACATGGACACCATATAATGTTCGGAAGGTTGTCTAACAATATCGACACGTAATCATATTTGATCACAGTTGGTGATTTTTTGCTCTACAATACCAAATTTTGCAAAGCAGATAACTCAAACACACTGAAATAGTTAAGTGTTATTGTCATGACTATATGTCATAACCTTCAAAAATTGAATACCACAAATTCTTCCTAATAAATAAATAAGCTTCTCATTGGAAGTCTAAGGTACAAAGGCAGCAAGAATAAACTAGAGACAAAACCAACTTACCTGGGGTTTCAATTGGTAGCTTAGGACACTCTCTTGTTAATTTATTACCGGAAGATTTAATTTCTTTTTCAAATTTTGCACTCAATATAACAAGTGCATTTAAACTCCGCTCTGTATTACAATTGACTTCCATATATGTATCTGTACAAATTGCTTCAAATAAGGCTGATTTGGGATCTAAATGAATAGAAAGGAGGCAAAACTCAGGTAAGCATTCAGATGTCGTTTTTATACTCTTTGTTTATCAGTGATGTTGATGAAATCAATCTTTAATTTATCAATTCCAAAACAGTCAAAATAGTGGAAACCATATATATATATATATAAATGATGTAAAAAAGGTCGGTGGCGTTCCAACTGTGGTAGCAAAGCATTCACGGATTTCCGTAGTTCTCATGAAACCACAGCTGTCAGCTGTGTTTCTATCTTAGCGTTATAGGTTTGATATGAATTACTTTCTATATAGAAATTCGGAGCTTACATTCATTCCGTGTCTGAGAACGTAATAATTAATCTATAGTTTTATAGGATGTTTTGTGTGGAAGAATGACATTTCATACGTATGCAGCAGTAGTGAATGCATAGCTCTAACGGATTCGCAAACAACATAGTACCATATAAACTTTTAGCTATTGGATGAAACAGATAGTCTCTTCTGTCAATTATAGTGCTTGGTAATCTGTAACCATCAGAGCTAGACCTGTTATGAGCTTGATTATTGCAGATTATGATCCACTAAATGAAAACGTTCCTTATTTTCAGGCAGTTTTACGTTGTTTGTAACACGTGGTCTATATACTTCTTGACTGAATGAATCCGTAAGAACTAGGAAGCATCGTGAAACCAAACGGATCCTCATACCAATTCTCCGCCTATCCACCCATGGACTGCAGTTCCGAAGGTGCAAAGGATGAATTCCATGTTACGGAGAGCAAAACTCCCAAATGTAGTGATAATGGCAAATGATTTTAACGCTTTACTTGAGTAGGAAAACTGAGTAATAGGGAAGACATCTTTGAGGTGTCTAGGGAATCCCATATCAACGAACTGCAATCACTTGTTTCTGACCAGCACTAAATCCAACCAAAGGGAGGGACACTACGTCACATGGTGTCCACCGATTTCAAACCAGCGATGGACACACTGTTATAAGTCATCGTTGGAGAGGATTGGTGAGGGATTCTAGAATCGTAACTTCTCAAAAGTTCTATCATGCCCTAGTACGGGTTCATATATGTTTGCACCCTATCGGATGCAGAGAACAGGCGAAAGTAAAGCCTTTGTATGCCTGATTGGTAGATTAAGACGCTAAGTAAGTATTTAGTGAGCAGTTAGCTGGGCATTTATCTGAAAATGATGCCAATGCTGACCCTGAGAAAACCTGGCGTGATACTAAGTCTGCTGTAGAACCAGTAGTAAAGACAACTGGTAACTTACACCCGAAGGTTAGCAGATGTCATTGGATTTACGCAACTACATCTCAACTGATTGCTGTAAGAAGACTCATTCCATCTGACTCTGACCGCGAAGAAAAGAAAAAGCAACTTAAACGTAAACTGATCAAAAGTTTTCGCAACGTTCGCCAGTAGTTGTGGGTGGCAAGAGAGAGTATACATTGGAGTATACATTAGCGTTGAGCAACAATCGGTAACTATTAAAGCTTATCAAAGATATCGACTGGAAGACGATTTATGGAATCATCACCAAAAAGAATGAGACGCTGATAACCTTCCAGGAAAAGCGTTCACAAAGTTAGGCAGAAAACTCTAGAGAACTTTGGAGCCCTCAACAACGTTTCAGCTACTCAAAGTGCAACTGGAACCCCAATGGGACACAGATGTCAGTCCTTCAAGTCTTCTTTGAGTTGAGAAGTCTGTTTTGAACCTGAAACGATGCAAAACAGAAGAACCTGAGAATTTTCCACCTGAAATTTTCAAGGATGTAGGTGGAAAATTGCTGACATAGGTGCTAGGTGGTATTTGAGAATAAGAGATAGTCCCACTAGACCAGTCTACTCCACTGCTCATGCCAGTCTGTAAGAAGGGAGAAAAGTCGTCGTTTGACAACCATAGGGGAATTAGTCTGACTAATGTTATACCGAAGACCCTATGGCCGATAGTCATCTGGCGCCTATCTGTAGCGCAATAGTAGCGAAATCGAGAAAACCAGGCGGGTTTTAAACCTGCAGGAGGATGCACAGACCAGATTTTCATCCCAAGACAGGTCCTTGAACATAGGTATACTTACCAGAGACCAACACTTACCGTATTTATTGACAAGAAGGCGGTTTTTGACTCAGTCGACCATGAGGCGTTGTGGTAGTGTTTGATAGTGAAGGGATTACTGAGCGAGTAAATAACGTCAATCAAAGTTCTCTACTGAAGCTCACCGAGCCTTGTAAGGGAGTATAGAGAGTTGCTATCAGAATTGGTGATCAGATGATTGAGTGTATTGACTAATCCACTTACTTAGGAATTTACATCAGCCCAAATGGGATGTTTGATGACGAAATATCAGTTTGACACAGAAAGGGCTTCCTAACATTTGCCAACCTGCGTCGTCTCTGTTGCCAACTTGCTAGGTATCCGACTATTTATCACAGGACGAGTATGCTGTGCTGCACTCCGTTCGTTTCTGTTACACGGGTGTGGGACATGGCTGTTAAAAAGAATACGTGAGGCGATTACTGGGCCTAGACCACAGATTTCTTCGTACCAATGCTCCTGTTTAGTAGAGTGAGTAATGTTGAGGTTAGGCTAAGGGTACTAGAGAAGACAGGCAGGTTGACTTTTGAGGTTGTGACCCTTAGTCAACTGAGGTCACTTACATATGTACTGTGGATGCCACTCCTTTCAAAACGCAACGGTAAGGAAGTTGAATTAGGTTGGGAGAGTGTTCAGGGTTCCTAGAACGAGAAGTGGCATCAGTCTATGATGACCCTAACTGTTGGATTGAGCTATGTGAGATGTAAACCAGCTGGCTGCCTGGTGTCTCCAAGGCGATACGAATCAGTAGTTGAAAGTCAGTGGCAATGGTGCGGGTGTACTGACTCTTTGATGTCTTCTAAAGCTTGAATATTCGCACTAACCTTTATCTTCAAATTATTCATCGTCATACACAACTTCATCTACTTAGATATTAGTCTGAGTATGCTGCTGCAAAGTGTGGCAACTTGAACGACTGCACTTGGGTCCGAGGTTCTACGGTGAACTTGTTTTTCTGTCTTTTATTATGCTTGCTCGTTAGTTAGTCTGACACCAGGTATTTCTTAAGAGTCTGGTTATCTCCTGGTGATCAGTAATATGTCATGGCTCTTCGAGGTAATCCGTAAAAGGAATCCCATAGTGACTAACAAGACGAATCGCCTTTTAGAGTTTAAAGATGTTTTTCTGTCGAGTACAGGTAAACCTAAGAATAAATATTTTGCCAAAATCACCTCATTGGGTAATTCTCACCACAGACCATGAAATTCGCAAATATACAATATTAATTCTATTATCATAAGTTCACTGTAGTAGCCAACCAAAGTTTAGTTGGTTTAGAAGATTTAACTCTCTAAAGTGAAGGAATCCGCAGTGACCACCATTAGTTTGAAGTTAAAACAACCTAAACAGCTGTTTGATGTTTACATAACGTTGATCCAGCCGACAAGCTCTGCTTAGTGAGCTTAGTGAACTACATCTACGCATGTTAGTCAGTAGTATTTTGAATAGAGATTCCTCTCTATATTGTTCACCAAAAAATAGGGATTCTTCTCATTTTTTACAAATTTTTGGTTTATCAGAAAAAAAACCATTTCTGATTTTTGATCATATAAACAATTTCTAGTCAACAAAAAGCGGTTAGTAAAGTGAATCTGTTTTGTGACATGAGCACGTTTTCTTATTGTGCTTCGAAGGTTGAGTTCGTGAGTTTCAAAACTTCTATATTTCATCTCCTATACCAGTTGACCACTGGGGGCTAACTTATACAGCCACCTAACTCTTAATGTTCAGCTGTGATTAAAGTATGTCGATGAAGTTTTTTATGTCAACTAATATATGTGATTCGACTGTTATGACATTCATCAATATTTCTTCTCCAAGGTCTAAAATTTTCAAATCCCTACTTACCTAGACATAAATAATCCAAACAAACGCAGAATCATCTTTGCAGATCATTGTGTTTTAATGAATAACAGTAAAATGAAGGAAAAAATAATATGGAAGATCTTTTAAGTGCTCACCAGGTAAACATTGATAGATGACATGAAGTGCACTATTTTCATCAGAACACTGACTGGAATTGGGAGTTAATTGGGATAACTGTAGTTCACAACTACTTCGACCTTCACATATTTGTTTAATCATCTGAAATTTTAAATACATGTATACATACATATATATGCAGTGGTGATGTCAAGAGGGATGTAAACGAATAAGAGTCTACGAAAAAAGAGCATTAGAGCATTGGACTAGTGTTTTGGGCATAAATGAAATTCCTCAGCAGTGCGCACCCATGAGGAGGCAGGAATCAGTCCCGGGACCTACACGTTCCGTGGTAAGCATGTTATCATTGACCCACTAGGCCGGAATCCAGTGGCCCAAATTTCCTAATTCTCTCAATTCACGATATAGTGCAACCTTCATTCAGTGTCGTCATTGAGTAACTGTCCTCATGTTCGAATTGCTTGGCTACACAAACCTCCAGTTTGAATTATTCTCGCACTCATTGGTGACTAGCTTCGGTAGGTGACTGCTGAAGCTCTAATGAGAAGTCGTGATTGGTTGGACCAAACAAGTCGAACATGAAGATAGTTACTGAATGACGGCATTGGATGGAGGTTATGCTATATCGTGAAACGAGAGAAGTAGGAAATTAGGGCCACTAAATTCTGACCCAGTGGGCAAATAGTGACGTGCTGACCATGAAATCTGAAGGTTCTTGGTTCGGTCTCTGGAGCACCATGGGTGCGCACTGCTTAGAAGTCCCATACTTGGGCAGCAGCTTTACAAGTCTCTTAGGTCTCGAATGTTCCTCCAGCTGATATCAGTCCATGATGAATTCCCATCAGAAGACATATAAGCAAGGAATATCATGAAAAAAATCTATGGCACACCAACACAGCCACTCCCAAAGTAGATTAATTGATCTAAATGTTAACTAACTCTTTATTTTCATGTGCATAAATCAACTTCAACAACAACGACTACTGTCTTGAACCGATTGTGAAGTATTCTCTGTTAATGAGGAAACTAATTAAAATATTGTACACTAGTTAATAAATATTTAAGTGAAAAGTTGTTCCCCACAGTTGTCTACTAAAATAGAATTACTGTGCAGATGCCGGGGTCAAACGTTAATGATAATATTATTTCCATACTAACAAGGGGCAAAGATCTCAACCTTTCGTGAACTTTCACGCAGTTCTATTGAATCGAACATGTGCTTGACTGCAATGTTTTCTTATTGGTGGCCAATATTTATTCTGCTTGCGATCTGGACAATTCCACTTCGTACGTGAATCAGTTTTAGAAAGTCTACCAGTTCTTATTGCTTAACAGCACTTTTAACGATTATTTTGACCTTAGTCTACTACACTATGCTGCACTTAGAAGATAGACTTTGATAGCAACACCAAAAATGGTTTATATAAACTATGATCAAGGTTTGATCGCATAGTATGGCAGATATTGGGCGCTGAGTAAAAGGTTGACATTAAATATAGATTGTATTTGTGTAAGTCAAAGAGGGTTTGAAATCAAATTATTCCAACGTTCCGCACGGAAGTCTGATCCGAGCTTCTTCGGGGAAATAATCAAAATTAAAATATCAAGGATTTATAAATGAATTCAAAAAACGTGTATTTAATCTCCTCGTCCAATCCTCTTCGTATGACTACACACAAATACAATCTGTATCTAATGTCAAGAATGTTTAGTTAATTTTCTGTGACCAGCTGTCATTGTTTAGGTCTTTCCGGTAGTTTTTATTGTTAAATAATCTTGAGTTAATTCAGAAAAGCTTGCTTTTGTTCCAAATCTTGTGAGTCACTTTACTGCATTAGTTATTCGAACCACAGTACTCATAACGTGATGTACATTTGCCGAATTCTTCTTCTTTGTACCTCAAATAGTCGTGACATTACGGCAGGCTCTTGAAAAAACATTGTCTATAACATTTTGTTAGCCCGCTTCTTAGCTGGTGTCAGTAAGAGACTGAATATCTAATGACTGTACATTTGGGCTATTAATTCTACTTTAATTACTAAAATAAATTACAGCGAAGTCTAGCATAAAGAAACTGCGAAGATCAACACACTGATATCATAACATGTAAGGTAAACTAAAATTTGGAAATTAAATATGATAGTCATCAAACACTGACCGGCTTCATTTCTGCATTAAAATGCTGACCATAAATAACTGGTAAAGGGGTTGTTACTTTTATTTCTGCCAGGTATTTAAGTCATCTATAGTTGCAATAAGTTAATTACATTTCCATGTTAATGACTCATGTTTCAAGTAGGATGTTAGCATTTTTATCAAGTAGCTATCTGTAGTATGAAATTGTCAAATAACGATCACAAAAATTGAAAAAATGTCAGTTAAGTGTGCGTCTTGGTGCGATAAGTTTTATTGAAATGCAAACTTCTCTCAGTGATGATTTATCACATATAGTTATGCGCTTGAGATATGACTGGACAACTCATAACAGGCAATGATCCCAGTGAAGACAGTCAGTTGTTCGTAAGTATTGACAACATAATGGAGGAAAGTGTGTAAATTTTTGAAAGCCAAATATGAATAACGCTTATTTGGATAGTTCGCAAGATAATTCTGCATCAGATCCATATAATGCAGTGAACAACTAGCTTCTGAAGACATGCAACTTCGAAGCAAAATGTGTGATGTGGAGTGGATTTCCCCAGCATGAGCGTAAATCTGAACGGCACACTTACTGGGAACAAAAATCGTTAGAAGAATCACTAATACCTAAACAACACTGAATAGTCAAATATCCTAATTTTTCAGAATTTTGACTGGGTATCGATAGATGTCAAGAAATATGAAGTTTAAAATTTTGACCTCAGAATTAGTTAGTGTTCATATCCCATTTTTTTTATTATCACCATCAGTGCAGTGAAAGCTTCAGGAAGTATATAGTTTGATATGTTTCTCAATGAACTACTCCAGTTTTTCGCAAGGAACTATTTAGGGTTAAATACGATGTACTAAAGATATGTGATGAGTACACACTATACACTTAATATACATAACTGATAAATGGACGTTTTTCAATGATATGTTTTGAAAATTATCTGAATATACCAAAAAGCTTTCAAGACGTACTTTTACTAAGTTTAACTTGTGATTACACTCTGCTTGTAGCTTCATGTTTAATTCATGTTTTCTTTTCTTTTCGGGTTGACTTCGTTTGAATGAACAACTTGGACTGATAAATTCAGGTTCTCCGGTTGTCTGAATGTTATAAATAACTTTAGTTTCCAAGGGTTTGATGTACATATGTGAGGGACAGTGTAACTGAATGGGATCTGGTGAACAAACAAGTAAAGATGGTTTGCGGAACACATCATTGCGGTCCATCTTACTAGGCGTATCTGAAAAAGGAGAAGTAGAAATTTTTCCAACATCATTAATGAAAGCATAGATATGTTAATGCATTCAAAGACGAAATGAAGACTTGGAGGTGAAATCATCTGTATTTAAGACAATGTGAGGTGAAGTTCGTTTGATATCAAGTGTTACCAAAATATACGGACTTATGACTGACGGTAAGCCTTTGTGTAGATTTTTAAGCTGATCAATATTACATGTCGATGACTTTATTTCATATGGGCTGACCTAGAATTTTCTTAACTTGCTGAACACAACTATCTACGTTGAAGGTTTTCTTTTGAATTGACTTAGTTATTCATGCAAAACTGGTAAAGAGATACTGGCTTAAGTGATCTTTCACAATCAGATGTCTGCGTTAATTTTTATTCAACGTTATCATTAAAGAACTGCTTTCTGTTAGTGTCCTCCCTATTTTATAGTATTATTTATTCTTGAAAAACCTCCGTGTTTTGCCTCAGTGTTTTGTTCCTCAAAGAAATTAAACTGAGTTGAAAGCTTATTTTGATTAGTTCTCAGATGACACGCATATTCAAAAGCTCATATTTCGTTCATACAGAAAATGTGTTAAATGACATTATATAAGTTTCAGTGATCTTTAATCATTGTTAAGATGTAATGCACCACCGAATGTTGTCGACTAGAAGCACATAAAGGTAGACGAAGATCGAAACAAGTGTTAAGATCAATGTCACTGAAAATAACCGTAGAAGCACACTGAGACCGTGAAGATATAAAAGCATAGATGAAAACTGCAAGAAGTCCGTATTACTGTCATTCATATTATTCAGACATGAATGGATTTCAGTTTCAGTTTAGAAGATTTAGGTTCAAAAGCTAGAAGGAGTTTTTGATTATCCATATTAAAACGACTACATTTTGACTAAATATGTCATGCATTCTTATATACTGATAATCTGCGGAATATTGTAATATTATTGGTGATAGTGTTTTGAGTCTTGATCTGCAGAATATTCTCTAACATCTTGGCTTGAAATGGGTCTGGAAGATGATACTGGTCAATCTTTGTAATCATAAGTAAACAATTACAGATTTTTCACTAAAAAGTGGTTAAAAGAAAATTCTCAAAGACTGGAATTAAGAAGAAACCTGAACAACAGAGGATTTTCGTGCCTAAGTTAGCAGACTTCGGAGGTCACTAGTTTCTGTAACAAGTTAGGCTTCCCGGTCAACTCCATACCTACTCCTGCCTCATCTCAATACCTCGAAAAAAAATAACAGCCCATGACTAAAGGTACAATTTCGTTTTAAAAACATATCTTTTTTAGCAGTACATATACCCCCTAGCGCTATAGAGAAATATCCAACGTTTTTATCATTCCAGTCTTCTGTTGTGGTGGTTCTACACAAATTCAAATAAAATTTCACATGATCATGTTTCTTCAAAAGCGTAACCGTTAAGTGAAGTTAGTCTGAAATGAATATTCACGCATTTTCAACTATACTACTGCCAAAAAGCATGAGTAGATAGGCGTCACTCAAACTCATCTGCCTGTTCGACCTTTAGCAAGCGACTGATAAAAAAAAATATTCTTACAACATAATCAGTAAATTTTAAAGGATATTTTCTTGCTGTTTTCTTGAATAATGTGAATCCCGAGTCTCCGAAGGTAGATATTCTGTGTGAACATGGATAGATAATGATGACAAAACTCACACAAATTGTGTGACGGTTCGTGGTACTAATCGCTTGTCCAGATCAAAGTGGTGGCGCGGGTTTTGAACTACGAACTCCCTGTTTGACTTGCGGTTGCTTCACCTGACAAACCAAGTGGCACATTACTTGGACAACTGGTTGTGAGCGAAGCATTTCAGCCCTAAAGTTTCATACACTTAGTTGTAGCACTATGAAGTAGTCGTTCATATTTGGACAACAATCATCATCGACGGCAATTACTTGTTACCTAAACTTGTACACAAGTTACTTTTTACTTAAAATTTTGAATGGAGTTCATCGTGACTACTTTTGAAATAGTGGAAAAGATTTGTAACTCAGAACGCAATATTATTATTTCTGCTCAAATGGTAGTCTCGAGTTTTTCCCTAAAATACAGATGTTTGATTTCAGATCTACCTAGAGATCGGTTCACTCTTTTAATTATTGATTATCCTTGATATGGAGGCGTTAGGCAAATCTTTAGGGGGAAGGTGAAGGACTGGAAACAAAATATGATTGTGTTACATGTTACAGTGTTTCTCCCTTGAGACTGTCTTCAGGATGTTTCTTCTATACAAACAGGTATCAACCTATGTGCTGGAAGTCGATAAACAATTACACCCAACTTTCGGAAAATTGAAGTTCACTTTTCTTAGATTAAATACTTTGTTAATGTGTTGAACTATAGACTAGCAATTATTTCTAAGAAGGTAACTAATAATCGCTGAATTACTCGCCAAATAATCTAATTTCTTTTGATAGAGTTTCCATTATCCTTAGTCGACAGATTAAATTATTTATTTTGTTACATAGTACGGTTTAGGGGGGTCCGATAAAAGTTTATCCTCGCTTCATTTTTAGGTTATTTTTCGATACAAGCGTATACATCAGGTGTGAGAAGGAAAGCAGTTTTCGTCTTTTAAGCCTATTGATCGAATTAACCAAAGTAATACTTATTGTTAACACGTTATTTAGGGAAGCATTCCTTTTTTTCAATCATAGGTCTACTTCCCTTCCGTTGATATTGAGATATGATATTGAAATAAATTGGCTCATATCCGAAAACTACGTGAGTCTTCTGTTCTATACCACATCTTCGAATGAAATTAATATTTCTGTTAGTAAGCGGAGGATATACTATCTTTGACCAAAATATGTACTGAGTGGTTACTCTGAAGCTCTTTCATTTCATGCAGAATGGTTAGCGGTGACAGTTTTGATGAAAAGGGATTAGCGAGTGGGTTTAGTTTTATAAGCACTTGGAGAATCAGGTCAATTCTATTCCGAAAAATGTAAAATTGAGGAGAAACTAATAACCCTGAGTGCCTAGTTCACGCTAAGCTTCAAATAATGTAAATGGAAAACTTGGGCACCGTGGTAGAGTGCACTCCTAGGTTAGATTTGTTTAGTTGTTATAGTATGCAGTGATACACCATTTACATCATGAAAAAAAAATAACACCGCATCACTCTGTGCTGTATCAAATAAATATGTCTATTATGCATGTCATACAAATTTATGCTTGTGAATTTTAACATAACGAAGTGAACAACTTAGCAGGCTGATGGAATTAATGCTCCAACAAATATGTGAGACAAGGTGAAAAGTATTACTGTTTGATTACAGTAAAACGGAGGTATCCGGAATAAAATGCCACGATACAGTTTTCAGTTTACAAATGCCCATTTTTTTAGACCAAATTCTTAAGTTGATACACAAAACGGTTGATATTTCATGTGAATAGATTAGTTTTCATATTCCGAATAGTTTTATTTGTAACCTATTTGTGAACAGGTTTCTTTCTGTAACTAATCCAAACTATTACACGTCAACATTTTTCAATAAGAGCTAACTGAAAGTTATTATCTTGACAGAAAAGAGCATTTGATGTAGGACAACTGGCGTGAAAAATAATTTGGAAGTAGATTTATTGTCGGTCCATTCATTTCAGAGAAGATCGTTAAAGTAATAGTAGGCAGACGCAAACTACATGACACCAACTTTTACGCTTATTGATACAAATGTTCAGTATAAAATGAATTTGAGATTACCAAGAAATAGAGGTGTTAGCTTTCTTAAAACACATTAAATGAATATATAGAGGTTATTTAAATATTCTGAAGAATGAATGACAGATATTTCATTTAGCGTCTGTAATTTTAATGTTTGTGTATTTTCTCACCTGACATTGTAGACGTTACACACGAAATGAAATTCGTTCTATTGATACGATATACATTTGTGAATTATGGCGTCAGTTAACCGAAAATTATTAATGGTTTCATGATTTAAGCACCTAAAAGATTTCCGTGACTAATAAATTTTCACCGAAACAATGCATACTTATTGGTTTTCGTTCCGTGTTTCATTGTACAGAATAAAAAAATAATATGATTAATGACTGACCTGTCATATGTAAAAGTAGATTTACATTATTAATTTTCTAGCGTGCATTTTTATAGTGTTAGCATTCTCATTGGTATTATTATCAATAACCCATATGCATACAATCGTCTATATACTTAAGTAGAAATCCATGCTAGATATATTGGATGGCCATTCAGATGACAGTTGTCCTTTGAATAAAAATAAAGTATCATAGTCTCTAAACACCTAATCATCTTGACTTTATGCTTGAAGATGGGTAACACTTTTGGACTAAATAATCTCATTTTGATGAAGATTAAAAAAACAAACAAAGCATACTCATTTCAGATCATAAACACTTAAGAATATTGTGAAATGATGGATGACTGTAATAACGGAATTTACATTAATCCGTTTGTATTCGCACTGAAAACATAAGTCAATAGAATAACTCATAAATAGCTGTTGGATCTTTCGGGAATTTTTAAATCCTAAAATCTGACCATAAACCCTAACGTAGCCACGCAAACCACCACTTTATTTCCATGAGTAATTTTCATGAAAAATTGAAAATTTGGTGCACAAATCCTTACAAATATTCTTAGAAAGTGGCCCAGTGATGGTTCTAAATAGATGTGGCGATTTCAGTCTAGTTTCTAATGTTGTGATAATAGGTGGGATCTACTTCCCACATTTTCCTACTAATCACTGCCAAAAATGTGACCAGGACATAACTAAAGACAGTATCAAAATGCCCGTACAAAGAGATCGAATACCACTTGAAGCTGCTGAATTTAGTTTAACAACTCAACTCCATTAGTTGTAAAAATATCTACTAACTCTCCATAAGTTAGTTTCTGCGAGGTTTTACATGTACTTTGTGAGACCACATTTCTAGTGTTACGTTTGGAATCAACAAGTAACC